GTGTAATATTACGTGACCAACCAGCGGAAGTTCTGCGATTGCGCGACTTGTCAACCATTGGTTGCATTTAAATTGTTTCGAGGACTTCGGTTAGAGCTTTTTCTTACCTTGTTAAGTTTGCGTTTCAAATTACTGCTCCGTTGTTTCACTGCTTTCAATCGATGGATATAAAAAGTTTGATACTCGACATAATTTATATGAAACTTTGACCGGTAAGATCGTGGTGAGGGGCGGGAGATTGTGACGTGTTCAGCGTCGTAAAAGTGAAGGGCTGCGGTGTTTGGTAACAAGATGGCCTTCGATGCGGTGTTCAAGCGAGAGACTTGTATGCGTTTTGTAGATGAAACTCACAATACATATATTCTGAAACGAATTGCGCGAATGCGAGTCCATTCTGTGTTAACAGATGTCGTTCTTGTCGTAGAAGGCAGAGAATTCCCTGCCCACCGAAATGTGCTGGCTGCCAACTCAGACTATTTCATGGCCATGTTCAGCGGACACATGGCCACCACGAGTGATAAAGTCTCTGTCAAAGAAATCACCGCTACTGCAATGGAGATCCTCCTGGATTTCATCTACCGAGGTGACATTTTGATAACCGAGGAAAACGTCGAAGATGTGTTCTGTGGTTCGTGTTTACTTCTGCTCGAGTTTGTCACTCAATCTTGCTGCAAATTTATTCAAGATCGTCTCGCTTTGAGTAATTGCTGGGGAATTCGTGCTTTGTCGGATAAATTCAACTGTAATGATCTAATGAACCGGGCAACTACTTTTATCGAGGAAAATTTTGTAGAAGCTGCAAACTGCGAAGAGTTTTTGATGTTGCCTGCTTCAGATCTGGGTGATCTTTTAATTGATGATGAAATTGTAATAGCACGTGAGCAAGACTTGTACGAACTCTTACTGAAATGGGTGGAACACAATCGAGAGGTGCGGGTGAACTACTTCCCGTCGCTGTTAGAAAAGATTCGTCTTCCTCAAGTTAATCCTGAATACTTTGAAGAAATTATTTCCACTGACGATTTGGTTATAGAAAACCCAGAGGTTCAAGAAATCATTTCGAAAGCTAGACAATACATTTACTCTCCTACAAAATTAGATGAATCAGTGACAGAAACTGAGCCTTTTAAATGGCAAATCCCCAGAAGATGTTTGCGAACTGTTAGTGTTCTTCTGACAGTTGCAGGACCAACATGTGCTATCTATGAGGCAGAAAGTGATGCATGGCACAACATCTCACGACTAAGTACAAGGCACTGTGCAGGTCTTGAGTCCATGGGCAAATTTGTGTATGTAGTGGGTGGAAGTAAAGAGTGGAAGAGAATGAATACATGTGAACGTTATGATCCAGATCTTAATGCATGGAATATCATGGCACCGATGAATGTACCTCGCAGTAATATTGGTTTGGTAGCTCTCAATGGTCTTCTCTATGCTGTTGGTGGATATGATGGGAAATCACCCATAAGGTAAGGCATGGTGCAAATGAAGTTCTTCTATGATCTGGCTCATAAGAATATGTGTCAGGGGAGAAAGCCAACTGAAGAAGTCCAAAAGAAAAACAATGTAAATGCAAGCCTTATAAAATTATTTAGATATAATTTAATACTCAACAATAATTGCTCCGAGGG